GCGGGGATACGCCCACCGAAGGGAGGTGACAACTCCCGTAAGGTGTAGGTAAGTCGTGCCTCACGTAGGCCCTATCCTGTCGTAGGGGCTCGCGAGAGGTATGGCTGGCGCACCCGGCCAGAGCGGCTTGTGGAAGCTCCATGTATATTGCGACGAAGGGTTCTAAAGACCAACTCCTGCGTGACGCGGCCGGGAGGGTCCCGCACTGCCCCCGTGCGGTGCCGGACCGATGCGCCCGACACCGGGTTGTTTGTTATTGAACGAGGTCATGTTTTCATGCCGAGGTTGGCGTCACGAAACATGCGGCGCTCACGCCGAAGAGACGACATCGTCATTGCAGCGAGCGGTGCAGGCGTTCTCCATCGCGCGCACGCAACGTGTGCATTCTTCGTTCTGGAGCCCGCGGATGTTACGCGCACAGTCCTGGCATTTGTCGTACGGAATAAGATATCACATCCCTCACGAACAGCGCCAGGAGCGCGCGCTCAACATCCATGGCCTCTATGGTGGATCATATGCACGTTGTGTGCGCGGGATGGAGACCACAACAACTCTCCCGGGATTGACGCCATAGTCTCTTCGGGGAGGGAGGCTCAAGTGTTGTCGCGAGAATACGAACGCGGAACGACGACCCCCTCCTGTTTATGAATACCATACCTCTCACTGCACGCCACGTGGACGGCGGACATCCTTCCCATCGTGGCCACCGCGTGACGCTTAATACCAATAGTGGTCGCGCGCAGCCCATGTGGCCCCCGCTTGTTGCTCACCACCACCGCCGCGACTACTGTCCGTCCATGCTGGCACAGTTGGCCCCACGGTGGATTCGAACCATCTGTCGTGGATTTGCAGTCCAATGCGTCTCCTTTGTGATAACCAACCTCTCATCTCTTTTATGAGAACAGCAAACGTGCGAGGGAAGTGTTTCGTAGGGGGTTCGTGTTCTCTTGGGAATAGGCGAGTTCGTGTTTGCCTCGACCGTGCGAGAGTGGTTTGCAATGTTCAGCTTGTGATCAACGGCCCTTTTTCTTCAATGCCAAGCCAAACAAGAATCGTGGGGGCGGTTGCGTGGAACGAATGAGAGAGAAGCAGAACGGAACACGGAAACTGTGCGCCCCGATGTCTACGTCATCCGTTCTCGCCGTCCCAGCCACTTGCGACACAAGGCACGACATGATGATAATGATGACGACGGTGATGATCACAATGATGGTGACGATTACGGTGGTGATGTTGATCTTGACGACGATGTTGCTTATGATGATGACGATGTTGATGACGATGATGATGTTGATGATGATGTTGGTGATGATGATGATGGTGATGATGACGATGATGATGATGACGATGATGACGACGATGATGACGATGTTGATGATGACGATGACAACGAAGATGACGATGGTGGTGATTTTGATGATCACGATGACAATGTCGCTGATGATGATGATGTTGTTGATGACGTTGATGATGTTGATGATGATGTTGATGATGATGATGATGTTGATGACGTTGACGATGTTGATGATGATGTTATTGATGATGATAATGATGTTGATGAAGATGATGATGATCACGATGACAATGATGGTGATGATGATGATGATGATGATGATGATGATGACGATGATGATGGTGGCGACGATGATGGTGATGATAGAGGCGATGATGATGATGATGATGGCAAGCAAGAATCATGGGGCCGCTCGCGAGGAAAGAACGAGCGGGAATCAGAAGGGGACACAGAAATCATGTGGGCCAATGTCACCGTCATCCTTTCCCTCCGTCCCCGCAACTTGAAACAGGTGGCGCGACGCGGCCGCTTCCATGGGTCGACAAACATGCCTGACGCCTGACACGTGGGCAGGCAGAACAACACTTTACCTTGAAGAGGGCACAGCGCACACGATGGCGCAACTCTTTGACGGGTCACAGTTCTTCGACGAGGCGCAGTTCTTCGATGACGGCGAAGCGCACACGATGGCGCAACTGTTCGACAAGGGCTCAACGCAGACGGCGGGGGCCACTTGCGTACGCAGGACGCAGAGATTAGATGTCGAAGCGCAGACAACCAAAGCACAAACGACAGTTGTCGACGAGAGGAAACCCCTGCACCCACGCCCGCCGCCGCCTGGCGCAACAGCGGAGCAGAAAAGGCGATGGAGGATGTTGCTGACGGGACGTCGCGCACGAATGCGCTCGTCAGGCTCGAGATGCGAAAGGGCTGCACCAGACCCGAGGCAGCTGAGCCTCAGACTGTCGTCGCAGCCCATCGAAAGACCCGCCTGCATCCCCCCCCCCCCCCCCCCCC